TGCTGCAAATTTAATGAAGCTTAGCAGTTATATTGTGTTTACAAGTTTTATTTGTTATGATCAGTAAGTGCTTACAAGAAAAAAAACATCTTCATTCAGCTGGCCCTAAGTGCAAACCACTGGTATTTGACGGTTCATTTCATTCACACGTATCTTTGCCATTTACTGCTTTTGGCCTTAGAAGATGACCTACTTTTTTTTCTCTCTCCCAGATAAGAAACAGAGCTCGTGGCACTGTTCATTCATGAGCGGCTGAGTTAGGTCTCATTTGAAACACAAGATGAGCTCCTTGCTGCTGCAGGAGCCAATTTTGTATGGGCATCATGCAATAACGTCTGCTGCGGTTTGCAACTGTAAATGAACTTGTAAGTTGCCTGAAACAATAAAGTACCTGATTATAACCCATATCTGAAGCGCTTTAAAAGCTGCAAGGATCCTGAAGTAAGACAGCATCTACCAGCCACCAAACCCACCAGTTCCTACCTGGAGCTCTTCTACCCAATGCTCATTAATGACCTCCAGCAAACCATGCCCAAAGCCTCAGGGCGCCATGGTTGGGAGGAATGGATGCACAGCTCTCTCATTTACAAGCATGCCTTTCACGCAGTGCCCTGGGCCATAATTTTACTTAAATCTAATAAAAGACCCTTAATTACACCCTAGAAATAATTTGTTTCAGTGGAAATAGTCCAATTAGAGCAGAATATGTTACTTTGCAATTTTACAGCCAAAGATTACAGTTTTCATTGTCAACTGTTAAAATCAAGCATTTCCTACTGGATGAGAGCTAGAAGTCAAGAAAGGCTTTCAAACTGAGGAATAAGCTTTATTTCATAAACATGAGAATGTACCAACATGCCCTTTTGAATGAATTCTTGCTTTCATATATCTGCAGTTCTCTCTAATCCTTTTTATTTATTTTCCTTACAAAACTCTGATATGGAGATTATGGAGAAAAACAGGGTTTTTTTTTTTTTTTTTTACTTTTTTACTTTTTCTCCATGACATTTCTCAGAACAACGTGTTAAGTTGTTCTTAGGAAG